TGGGTGTTCACCTGAGATAAAACCACCAATTTGTAGTCCTCCAGTATCCCAGGAGGCACAGCACACAGGTGGACTAGCTATCATTCAGGATTCTGCAGCCCTGGACTGACATCTGGGAACAGCAGGACAACAAGTGGGTGGGGATGGGGTCATGGGGAGGGAGGAAAAAGGAGTAAGTGGGGGGAAGAGGATCTGGGGGAATGGGGCATGGGAAAGGGTGGGGGGCAGGATTGGAGGGAGGAATCAGGATGAGGTAGGGAAAAGAGGGAAGTGGGAGGGTGGGGACCGGCTGCCCACTCTGGCCCCCAAAATCCCCCGACCCCCAAATTACCCTTTCCACCCCCAGATCAGTCCTCTGTCATCCCAATTGCCTCCTCTGCCCTGCATCAGCCCATTTACCTCTGGATCATTGTCCTGCTGCCCCGATCAGCTCAAGAGTGGCAGAGGTGCCAGTGGAGGGTTTTCCCCTCCCTGCCTACTGTTGGGGTCCCTACAGACCATGCCACCCCTCTGCACTCAGATCCAGCCCCTGCCAGGTGATACAACTGAAGGGGAGGCAAAGGAGAAGGGGGCAGGGGGTGCAAGGTGCTTCCAGAGAGCGGTGGGGCCTGGTGGAGCCTGTATCTGGGTGCATGGGGGTAGCATGGGCTTCAGGGAGCCCAGAAGCAGGCAGGGAAGGTGATCTCTCTGCTCTGCTGCCCCTGCTGCTGCTATCAGGCTGATTATGGTGGCAAGCCAGTGATTTGGGGTGGCAAGGCAATGATTTTGGAGGTGGAGGGGGTGATCCAAGTCACATGTGGGGAAGGGGGACCCTTCTCCCCCTCTTCCCTTGTCTTATGCTGTGACTAGACAGCCAGTGAGCAGGAAAGGCATTGGAGTGGACTTGCAGCCCCTAATCATACCCCTGCTTGCCAGCCCTCTATTGGCATATCTGAGCAGTGCACATTAGAGAGGGTATTAACCCCGAATATGTGACTGATCACTACCATTAATTAACCTTAATGCAGACTAACATTGCTTAGAATTAGCACTTGCTCACTCTAACATATAATCTCACCTACAGTCTGCTATCTGACCATAACCGACCATACACAAAAGGTCTGACACACACACATTCCCTTTCTGACGTTTACCCTCAAGTTCAGATCCTTCCTCTGGTACCAGCTCCACAACTATCTCCTTATCCCCTTCATCTTTAGCCAACCAGCGCTGGGCCACAAAGTTATAGACTTCCATTTCTTCTTCTGGCACAGACTCCTCGTCTTCTTCCTCACCAGATTTCTTTTTTTTCTTCCTTTTCCACTCATTATCCTGAACCTTTTTTACCATCCGTTTAATTGTGACATTCTCCAGGTACCAGCCATCCCCAATGCCCTTCCCATCATGACCGATTCGTATCTTGTAGATTGAGCCAATCTCCGCAGCCTCTACCTGCCACCAAAGAAAAAAAATCTCAAACATAGGTAGTGTGAACTGGTAGCAGCCCTAAGTCTGACCAAATTCTGTCCATTTGATGGTACTATTAGAGGCAAGTCTTGCTCTTTGGGTACAAAAAGGTGCCACATTTGTCTCAGGTGAACACATTTTATCCTGGGAAAAAGTGCAATCATTCAGACATCCAAGTCTGCTGTCCCAGGATAAATCCTAAAAAGGTTCATGGGGTAATAAGTACCAACAATTTATCCTGAGACATCACAAAGTGCTTCTGAACAATTATCCTGGAATTGCATCATTGATTCCTAGAATAGGATCTGGCCCCAAGTCTCTCTTCAATTAAGCTTTGCACTTAATTATAGTTTCACAGTGCTTAGGGTCGGAAGGGACCTAAACAGATCATCAGGTCCGACCCCCAGCCCTGGGCAGGAATGAGTGCCGGGGTCATAACACCCCAGCCAAATATCTGTCCAGCCTCCTCTTGAAGACCCCCAAGGTAGGAGAGAGTACCACATCCCTTGGGAGCCCATTCCAGAGCCTGGCAGCCCTAACTGTAAAGTAATGTCTCCTGATGTCCAGCCTGAACCTTCTCTCTAACAATTTGTGGCCCTTATTCCTAGTAACCCCAGGCGGTGCCCAGGGGAACAGAGCCTCCTCCAATTCCCACTGGTCCCCCCTGGTGGGTTGTAAATGGTCACCCAGATCCCCTCTCAGCCTTCTCTTGTGGGGGCTCAATAGATTCAGGCCCTTCATCCTCTCTTTGTAGGGCCTGGCCTGCTGTCCCCTGACCATGTGAGTGGCCCCCCTCTGGACCCTCTCCATGTTGTCCACATCGCTCTTGAAGTGCGGCTTCCAGAACTGGACGCAGTACTCCAGCTGCGGCCTGACCAATGCCACATAGAGGGGGAGGATCACCTCCTTGGACCTGCTCGAGATGCATCTGTGGATGCACGACAAGGTGCGGTTAGCCTTACTGACCGCTTCCTCGAATTGGTGGCTCATGTCCATCCTGGAGTCAACAATGACTCCAAGATCCCTTTCTGCCACCATGTTGACAAGAAGGAAGTTCCCCAGCCTATAGGTGTGCTGCTGGTTCCTTCTCCCTAGAGCAGCACCCTGCACTTGTCTGCATTGAATTCCATCCCATTCTCATCTGCTCATCTCATCTGTCATCTCATTAAAATTAGCATTTTAAAGAACTATTATTAGTCCAATTTCATAGCTATGCAAACTAAGTACTCAGGAGAAAAGTAGCAGTGCATTCAGTTGCCCACTAAACCCTGATTAGAAGGGCAATGCCTATACACACCACTCCCAGAATATTTCTGTTCCAGGACAAACACAGGCACAATTTTCCAGGGATAAATGCAACATCTGTTCCTAGCCGCTGTGTCACAACATAAGGAGACTCGGTGGGGTGTGACCCTGAGCAAAGATTCTGAATATCAATATAACCAGCCTTAATGAGGTGCAAACAGCTGACCTCAGGCGGCTCCATATGAATTAGCAGGCATGCTTAAATCAGTCTGGGCGGTGCCTTTAATATGGAGGGCAAAGGGATTTGGGAAATGACTAGCATCATTGACACAATTTAAAAGCCCAACCTTCTTTACCTGGAGATGTCTCTGTACTTAAAAATCAACACAGACCCAAACCAGTAACCTCACCATGGCCTCAACCAACAGATGTGAAGATCCAGAAATTTTGTTCAGCTAAACCCCTCCTCTGGCCTATGCTCCCCATGGCTGGGGATTCCAGTTCACTCCCTCTTCTAAACAGCTGGGTAGTGCATGCATGTTCAATCTCATCTCAGCAGGGTGAGTGACTTGCATGGTCACACAGGCCATCTGGGGTGGAAATAGGTGCTGAATTCAGAACTACTGAGTTCCAGTCTCCTCACCAGCTTTACCTCCACGCTGCTGTGAAACTGCTATGCCTTGCATTGTATGGACTTGCAAGCTCCTTGGGACGTGGATTCTGTTTTTTTTCAAGCAGTTAAAACACCACAAGTGTGGCTCCCCTTATGCATGACAGCAATGCAATATGGTTCGCATTCCCAAATTTGGGCCTGCAAGGTCACAGCAAGTGGGCTCAAAGGAGGCCTTGCTAGATGATACCATTCCTTGTTGCAGCTCAGCCCTGACTCTTCTCCCCCCTGCCATGGCCTGATGTGCCAGTAGTATTCCCTTGCATTTCACGGGTAGCAACTAAACATAGTTTCATAGTTGCATAGTTTCTAGGGTCAGAAGGGACC